CATACGCTATGCTGGACGAGGGCTCATCCGTGACAATGATTGACAGTAGACTGATAGCAGAGTTGGGAGTTAAAGATCATCAGCACATGTTAAGCTTGCTCAAAATTTACATGACATGGTAAAGAGATACTTTGAAATCGAGAACTTTGGAGTGCGGCCGGCACCAGTGGTGAGAAGTGGCGCTGATGTACGCGCAGAGAATATTTTAAAGTCCACTACTGTACGTATAGACGGAAGATACCAAACCGGTTTGCTGTGGCACAAGGACGACATCCAGCTGCCAGACAGTTTCCAAATGGCCGAACAACGACTCAGAGGAATTGAACAAAAGATGAGTAAGAATAGTGACTTTGCCATAGCATATAAATCGACAATTCAAAGCTACATTGCCCAAAATTACGCGGTAAAACTGAATCCCCTTGATTCCAATAAAACTGGCCCAAGGGTTTGGTATCTTCCACACTTCGCAGTCGAAAATCCTAACAAGCCTGGTAAACTCCGCCTAGCGTTCGATGCTGCTGCAACCGTAGACGGAATATCCTTAAACTCCTGTTTGCTTAAGGGTCCTCAAGGCTACCAACCAATGCCAACCGTACTGTACAATTTTCGGATCGGAGCTATTGGTGTTTGTGGTGATATCACGGAAATGTATCACCAGATCAAGATACAACCGGAAGATAGGTGCGCGCAAAGGTTTCTTTGGAGGGACGACTCCAGACACCAGCCAGACGTGTACGAAATGCAAGTTATGATATTCGGAGCCGCATGCTCGCCTTGTGCCGCGCAATAAGTGAAGACCTTAAACGCTTTTGAGTATGAGAAGAAATTTCCACGCGCTGTCGAGGCCATCATAAAGCATCATTATGTCGATGACTACGTGGACAGTTTCGAATCCTGTAAGGAGGCCATAACCATTACAGAGCAAGTACGTAGGATACACAAAGCGGCGGGTTTTTACATGCGAAAGATTGCCTCCAATTCTGCAGCCGTATTTAAGACATTTGCCAGTGCAACAGATGATAATCAGCCATCAGCCGTTTTGATGTTCAGTCAAATACAGAAAAGGTACTCGGAATGTTTTGGCACCCAAATGACGACACTTTTCGATATGAGCTTAAGTTCCATCGAGTCAACGCAGAAGTAGTAAATGGAAGCAGACCACCAACAAAAAGAGAGCTTCTCAGCTATGTGATGTCCATCTTCGACGACCCGCTGGGCTTTATTTGTCATCTGACTGTTGGCGCTAAACTGTTGATGCGAGAAGTATGGCGGCGGGGAATAGCATGGGACGAGCAACTAGACGATGAAATTAACTACTCCTGGAAAAAATGGCAAGAACACGTCCGGAAGACTTCGATGGTTCGGATTCCGCGCTATTATTTCCATGACGGACCACCAAAGGATTTGCAGCTGCACGTGTTTGCGGACGCTAGTGAAGAGGCTTTCTCTGCGGTATGTTACTGGCGATATATATGCGTGAAAGGTCAGGTCAAAACAACACTGATCGGAGCTAAGTCGAAATGCGCGCCCACGAAGCCAATGACAATTCCCAGTCTCGAGTTACAAGCTGCTGTGCTTGGCGTTCGCCTATCGCAATTAATTCTCGAATAACACAACCTTGAATGTACCCGTATTATGTGGAGGGATTCTACGACCGTTATCAGCTGGTTAAACTCCGAGAACCGCCGCTATAAACCATTCGTAGCGCATCGTATCGCGGAGATACTTGCCGTAACTCACCCGTGTGACTGGAAATGGGTTCCTACAAGCGCGAATGTTGCTGGCGATGCAACACGCCACAGCCGTCATATAGACTTATCTGAAACTTCTCGTTGGTTCAAGGGACCAGAATTTTTATCATTGGGAGTGGAAGATTGGCCAAAACATTCTACTGAAACTACCACAGCTGAAACTACCACAGAAACAACTACCGAAGAGTTGTCACCGCGACCATTGCTTATCCTCTTTAACAGTACAATTTTCAATTTTAACAGATTTTCTTCTTACAACAGACTCAAGAGATCAACAGCATGGGTATTAAGATTCGTCAACCGCAGCCGACGCAAGAATTCGCCTGTAGAATTTTATGGGCTAAGCGCATCCGAAGTCAACGCGGCCGAAAAATTGCTATGTCGCGTGGCGCAAGAAGCTACCTTTCCTGCGGAGATCACTGCACTACGAGTAGGACAACCGCTAGGTAGTGACAGTACGATCAACAATTTAGCACCGTTTATTGACGACGAAAAAATTTTACGCGTTGGTGACCGTTTAGAAGCTGCTACTTGGCTTCCATTCGATTGCCAACATCCCATAATTTTACCAGAGAAGCACCAGCTTACTATTCTAATCGTTACCCATTATCACGAGCGAATGAAACATCAGTACTTTGAAGCAACAATTGGGGAGATTCGCCAGAAGTTCTGGATCACCCGCATACGTCAAGTTTTAAGAAGCGTTGTCGCGAGTTGCATCGTTTGCAGAGCTTCCCGTGCAAAACCCTCACCGCCGATTTTGGGTACACTGCCGAAGGATCGCTTAACGCCATACGTAAGACCATTCAGCTACACGGGCATAGACTACTTCGGCCCTTTGAACGTAACTATCGGCCGTCGAACTGAAAAACGATGGATCGCTCTGTTTACATGCCTCACGGTGCGAGCTATACATTTGGAGGTAGCAGCTGATTTGTCAACGGATTCGTGTATTCTTACCATTAGAAATTTTATCAATCGGCGTGGCGTCCCAGTCCGAATGCGCAGCGATAACGGAAAGAACTTCGTTGGCGTCAAGGAAGAAGCAAAACGCTTCGATGAGGTGTTTGACTGTGAGCAAATACAGACCGAATTATCTAAAAGAGGAATTGATTGGGTGTCTGCCCTGATAACCCATCGGAAGGTGGAGTGTGGGAACGCATGGTGCAATGCGTTAAACGTGTCCTCCGGCACACCTTGAAGGAAATCGCGCCACGTGAGCATACATTGCAGAGCGTCATGATTGAGGCCGAGAATATAGTGAACTCTCGGCCACTTACACATTTGCCGATATCAGTGGACCAAGACGAACCGCCTACGCCAAACCATTTTTTACTGGGTACCGCCAATACAGCGCAAACGCCTTCTAAAAACGCTTCGGAAGAGCGAACGTGTGCCCTTCGTAAACAGTGGCGAATTGCTCGACAGCTTCGCAATAGGTTTTGGAAGAGGTGGATAATGGAGTAGTTACCTACGTTAACGCGAAGAACCAAATGGTGCGAGAAGACGAAAGCATTGGAAGTGGGTGACGTGGTGTTTATATGCGACAATGGTGCCGTGGTGTGGTGGAGCGTGTTTTCCCTGGAGTGGATGGTGTAATTCGGCGCGCGGACGTCAGGACTAGCTCTGGTGTAGTACATCGTCCTTCTTCAAAGCTGGCCGTTTTGGACGTATGTAGTGGTGAATCTGAGCGATCCACGGGGGTGGGAATGTGACAAAACGTCCACCTATAACTTATCGTAGTCAAATTTAAAGTGTAAACACATCGTAAGCTTTGTTAATTTATGTAAAGTTTTTGTGAACTCTACGCAGTTGGCAACTCTTGTAAGACATTCGACCTTTATGTTCGACATTTGCCTTTATTTAAGTTTTTCGTCATTTTGATTTATTAGAGTCGTGAATGTTCAAGAGGAAAGGCGCAAACTGCGGTGAGTATTATTAATCTGATTTATGTATATGAAAACCACTGCACCACTGTATTTCATTATCATAGAAATAAACGCTCTCGTACCCGTCGTCATGCCATTGTAACCAAAGAGGCGTTTTATTTCTTTAGCCTACTCACGACTCGACAAACCGCATTGCTATTTTTCTAACTTTTCCCTTTGTTTAGCGCTGTAACCGCTTAAGTTATATCTTTCAATTTTTACATGTGAATTATTTTCAATGAGCATTTTTTCATTTGCTCCTGAATTTTGGGACAATTTTCTTATAATTCTCGCATTCTTTTTTATATTACATATATACACTCCGAAATTCGGGAGAAGCTAGGCCAATCACTAACATATTGTTTAAGCGCCAATATGTATATCGTCGTTAAAAGTACAAAACCGCGTATCGTGGTTCTGCAAAACCTCGAAACTGAAATTTGTGCCAAAAAAGGTATTGGTCACCGGAAACTCCTGACATCAAGCCCTTAGCCATTTATAATAAAATATCGATACTTAGACATAAGGAGAAGAGATAGTTAAGTTTAAAAAAGAGAACCGTTTTTAATTAGGACTCTCTCCTATAAAATTTAGGCAACATCACATACGAGGTTTTGCATTTTCTTGATGCGCGGTTTTGTACTTTAAACGACGATATGTAGAAGTATTGCATACATATTTTGGTGCCTTTTCAAGAATAAAATCCTCTGAGAAACGGAAGAAAACGGCATCCCTATGACTTCAACTTATGCCAAGCGTTTCGTAAACAAGCCATTCTGAACAAAAAAACTTTTTTTCCATAAAGATGTTTAAATGGAAGCATTACAAATATGGAAAAATAGCACTCCACAAGGCTTTATTGGCAGTAGGTCCTTTTTAAAGCACGTTTAACAAAAATAAGCTTCTAGTTTCGAAGCTAGCACAAAATAAAATATTTTTTATTTGTTGTTTACAACAAAAATATTGCCAAGTATATAAGTCAAAATTGTTAAATATATATCGCTTTCATTCATTTCTTGATAGAGTTGGTGCTTCTTTTATAGGAAAATTCATACGGCTTATGAACAGATTCATACCATGTAAATGCACCATAATCCAAGCGGAAGGTCTGAAAGCTTTGCAAATGATAAATGAATTCATTATAAGAACAAAAATTACTCTCTAACGACAATCAATATTTAAACCAAGCAACGAGAAATCCAACTAACATTCACAACGCAAATCCAATATCTTTATTCCCCACATTCGATTATTTTATACTAGGTTCACATATAAGTAGATTATCCTCATTTTCGAGCTTAAAACTTTGTTCACATATCAATATCACCTCAATCAAAGCTCGATTTTTAATCAGTATTGCGGCAACACAAAGCGAACAACGAGAAATAGGCAGAATGTTCGAGGAATGACGTAGAATGTTCCACAAAGAGAAACGTCAAGTTGGATGAACACTGCGAACAGCGAGAGAAAGAGAATGAGCGATGAACTTCAGAATGTTCTAGAGTTGCCATAAGTGCCAGCGCAGGTATATAAGGGCGCCGCCACAGCGGAGTTGAGTTAGTTACAAGTCAGCAAGCTACAAGTAAAGTGAGCAGAGAAGTGAGTTGCAAACAAGCAAGCTATAAGTTTAATTGTGTTAACAAGTTTAGTAAAATGTTATTATTGCTTTAACAAGTATTGTAAAGTGTTTTACTGTTATAGCGAGTATTGTAAATTGATNCAAGCTATAAGTTTAATTGTGTTAACAAGTAGTAAAGCGTTGTTATTGCTTTAACAAGTATTGTAAAGTGTTTTTACTGTATTAGCAAGTATTGTAAATTGTTTGTTGTACAATAAAGTTAATTGTACTACAATTTGGTCATCGTTAGCATTTATTTAACAATGCAGCGATACGAACCGCGAGATTTGGGAAATCCGGACGAGGTTTCCGAGGATAATCGTAACAATACATAGCGCATTTACTCAATACTTGGTCTGGCATCACTGTTTGAACATTGATGTGCTCAGCTCACTGGAAAACCAAAATTAGCCAAAATTATTGTCAGCCACTTTAAATGCACAATTTAGGTAAAATGATGCAACAAAATGCTTTAAAATGTGTTGTCATGTTGAATTAACTCTTCTTTACTTGAATAAAAGTGTAAAAAGTGGTGCTTGTGATGTAAACAAACGCTAGCTGACGAACCCGCTTTCGCAAACTTTTTTCTCAAAACCAGTTACAAATACAACGTCGCGTTCTTACGTGATCTTTTATTTTTGGTTCATGCGAGGTTTCAAGGATAATCGTAACAATTGGTGTCAGAAGTGGGATTGTTAAATAAATCCCGAAGGATAAACTACTGAAAATGGCGAAATTTCAGGACTTAAAGATTGAGGAACTCAAACAGGAGTTGGAGAAGCGAAATTTAGCAACCTCCGGAAGAAAAGTGGAGTTACTATCACGGCTGCGAGAGGCTATGGAAGCAGAAGGCATCGACGTGGACAAATACGACTTCCAGGGTTAACTCGACGATGCATCCGAAAAGTATGAGGCTGCTTGTTCGTCGAAGGAAGTGCAGCAGACATCCGGGAAGGTTGAAGAACAGCAAAAGTCTCCAAGTTCATCAACAGCTATGGACATGAACACGTTATTGGCTGCCATGTCACAGATGTCATCACAGATTTCATCCCAGTTGCAAGTGCAGGAAACACGCATATCATCGCAGCTAGATGAAAAGATTACTCAGCTACAAGAGAATTTATTCAAAAATTACTCGGAACTCAGAGAGAGACAGGATAAAATCGAGGAACGACAAGATAAGATCGAAGCGCTTATTAAGGAAAAACAGGACAAGCTAAGGGGGATGAGCTTGGAGATCGTCTCCGAGATTTGCAGATGAATCGTCCAGCTACTTCGACAAGTGCTACCAAGGTAAAGACTCCATCCTTTGACGGCACGATTCCTTTCCAGGTCTTTAAGCTCCAGTTTGCGAAGACAGCTACAGCAAATCATTGGAGCATGGAGGATAAATCCGCTGCGTTATTCGTCGCATTAAAAGGACCTGCAGCGGAAATTTTGCAGACTATTCCCGACTCTGAAAGGAACAATTACGATGCGTTAATGGGTGCAGTGGAAAGACGTTATGGTAGCGAGCACAGGAGAAAGGTTTACCAGATGGGGCTGGAGAATCGTTANTGCAACTGGTGAATGCACCTAAGGGTTAGGAGAAGTACCATGCGAGGTAATAATCGACGGTTGGGCCTCGTACACTAAGTTTATAGTGGCAGACATTGTGGATGAAGTCATCATCGGCGTGGATTTCTTACTTGGCCAAGGCATGGAGATTGACCTCCAGAGAATGATCCTGACAGATCGTCACAGGAAAGTGCCACTTAGGGTTGGTTACGACAACCAGTGCTTCAGCAGACGATTGGTCTTAGAGGAAGTGCCGAAGATTCCACCAGAAAAGTGGTTAGTTGGGAAGAGGTTGACAGTGATGGAGACGAAATGGTTTCGTCAGGAGAAGGAAGTGGTTCACCGATACAGGAAAAGCGTGACGGTTCCGCCAGCTCAGTGAACAAGAGGTCGCAACAAGGAAGTGGTCATGGCGAGCCAGGCAGTGTTTCCGGCAGGAGGAAAGCCACTGAACCACTTTGCAATGGTGATACGCCGGTGGCCGGAAATGGAAGCGGCTGTGGTAGCAGTAGGCGCGCTTTGAAGTGTCCTGAAAAAGGTGGTCGGCAAAAACGAGAAGTTAAGCCGGAAGCCAAGGTTGAGATTATACATGTCCGGTCAATGAAGCTAGCAGCTGCGGACGAGCGAGATACGAAACGACGGCGGGAGTTTCAGCGTAAGGAACCGGATTTAGCAAGATGTGCTAAAGGCAGTGCAGCACGAAGGCAGGAGCATGGGTGTCATGGACAGAGGATGCGGCTTAGATCTGGCAAAAAGGGTGCCCACAAGAGGAGACATGGTCTGGTCACCACCAGTGGCCGGCAGAAGCACGACCATGTGAGATGGTGCACCACCGGAGATAAGCTGGAAGCAATGTCCAGCAACGCCGAGCCGAGAGGAGCTACAGGAGGGCGATTTGGTGTTGTTGCACATGCCGCAGCCGAAGAAAGGCGTCACCTCCGAACAACATCGTAACTGGAAAGGTCCGTTTAGGATTGACAAACGGCTGAAGGACGCAGTGCATCGAATTCAGACAGCTGGGAGACCGAGGACCAAGATGAAAGTGGTCCACTTGGAAAGACTTGCAGCGGTTGGAGCGGCAACACACCACAGCCGCCA